ATGTCCAGTTTTGTGGAAGCCAGGGTGGCTGAGTGGGTTAGACTTTGCGTGCTGACAATAAGGTGCCTCTCTCCGAGTATGTTCATTCGGATCTTAGATGGGACTCAACCCCATCAAATATCTGTATTTTATGCGGATTTTCGTTTATTGATAGATCGGTGTCAGCGACCAAGGAAGAAAAAAATCCAAAAACCGTTTTGTAAGTCCCGCCGAACCCTAACACGTAGTCATTGTCAGATAGGTTAAACCTGTTTGGCCGTCTCGCATTTGATTGGACGGTCATAGGTCGCTCAAATGTTAGCAGACGTGACCTTCTACTAGGGTTTGTTAGACTCAGTATAGCAGTGTAACGAATAATACTGAGCCTAAGTTTACTTAGACTGGCAAATAGGTCAAAACCATATAATAAAATTAATAATAGCACAAATTATAAAAAATTGAATTTGACATACATGCATTCAGTTTGACACTTGTGGGTGAAACGAATGATACCTATTGGTCAAAAGGGCTTTGCGCTAGACACAGGCTTGACTTCAAGACAAGAGGGTTTCACTGAATACAGGGTATCCTTACACAGACCCAGGGTTCGAAATACCCCATGTATTAGCGTGCCACAGTAAATTTTGAAATGGCAGAGATAAAAAATGTTCTTGGTGCTCTTATGGCACACCTAATCTTTTAGAGACATAACTCACCTTTAGTCATTTATTCCCCCAAACAAAACACTTACGCAAATGACAAACAAGTAAAAACATTTATTGACTTTATCGCCCAGGAAATCACTGGAATTATGATGCATGATGTAAAGAAATGTGGTTGTTTTTCCATTTAGAATGAAGGGATAACTGATAATTTGGTTATTGAACAGGAAATTGTGCATGCTAGATATATTGAACAAGTGAACCTGTCACAGAATTCTTAGCTATTAAAGGTGTTGGGGGGGAAGTAGAACAAATGAAACATAAGAAAGCCATCTTAAACAGAAGACATATCAGTGAAAACAGAAAACAGGTTACATTTGTTGTTTACTAACAATAAATTTCAAAAGATCATCATCACTGCTACAGTCATTTATTCTAAAAACATATGGGCACACTTGATTTCTGAAAGGCACACCTAAAATGTTTGTCTGGTGCCCTAAGGCACACATAGAAAAAGATGTATTTCTATCCCTGCAGACACCTTATCACATTCATGTGTTTTGGGAAGGTAAATATATTTGCACCTCTTGTGGAATAAGTAGAATCATTGTTACACCACCATATCAGGCAGGGATAGAAATACTTTTTTTTCTAAGTGTGCCTTAGGGCACCAGGCAAATATTTTAGGTGTGCCTTTCAGAAATCAGGTGTGCCCACATGTTTTTAGAAAACAACAAATGTAACCAGTTTTCGGCTATCACTGATATGTCTTCTGTTTAAGATGGCTTTCTTATGTTTCATTTGTTCTGCTTTCCCATCACCTTTAATAGCTAAGAATCGTGTGAGAGGTTCACTTTTTTCAATATGTCTAACATACACAATTTACTCTTCACTAACCGAACTATCAGTACTCACAACACTCTAAATGGAAAAACCAGATTTCTTTACATCATCCATCATAATTCCAGTGATTTCCTGGGCGTAAATGTCAATAAATGTTTTTGCTTGTTTGTCATTTGCTTAAGTGTTTTGTTTGGGGATTAAATGACTAAAGGTGTGCTATGTCTCTAAAAAATTAGGCATGCCATAAGGGCACCAAGAATATTTTTTTATCTGTGCCATTTCGATATTTTCCATGCCATGGCACGCTAATACATGGGGTCTTTCGAACCCTGTCAGGCCAACATATATCAGAATCCCACCTTAAACAAGGGGAATATTGTTGTATTTTGTGGAAGTCAAATGTTGACGTTTGGTGTATTTTACCATATTATCATGATCTTAGCTAAGCCTGTGTTTCTGCTACACTCAATCAGTAGGTAGTTCACTTCCCTACACGTACAGGGTGTGGTAATAAATCCTCTCCGACCAGGACGACAGTCTCTCATTGTCCTGTAACCAGTATTTACCCCGGAATCCACTGTCACACTCCATTAAAACACACAACAGTTATCCTGACACTGGCAACATTGTGTAACCATGTCTTCTGACAAAGGAAGCAAGGTCAGCAACACAATGGGCACCTTGGTGGTGGACCTTACAGATACTGATCTGGGAATTGGTAGGGGATCACGTTTCACCACACTCGGAGCTCACTAGAACAAACTCACTGAAGCCCACAGTGATCACGATGTTCCAGCTCGGTGACGTGAGTTGGGTGCACATGACTTTACCATCTCATTAAGATGTCGGAGGAAATCCATGCTGACCAAAAGGATTAAGTCATACACAGTTTACAACACAACCCAGAGTGAATGAATGTTGTTTAATGTGACAGTCAGCAGTACACAGTTTACAACACAACACCACTTGGGACTTGAACCCAGGGTGAATGAATGTTGTTTAATGTGACAGTCAGCAGTACACAGTTTACAACACAACACCACTTGGGACTTGAACCCAGGGTGAATGAATGTTGTTTAATGTGACAGTCAGCAGTACACAGTTTACAACACAACACCACTTGGGACTTGAACCCAGGGTGAATGAATGTTGTTTAATGTGACAGTCAGCAGTACACAGTTTACAACACAACACCACTTGGGACTTGAACCCAGGGTGAATGAATGTTGTTTAATGTGACAGTCAGCAGTACACAGTTTACAACACAACACCACTTGGGACTTGAACCCAGGGTGAATGAATGTTGTTTAATGTGACAGTCAGCAGTACACAGTTTACAACACAACACCACTTGGGACTTGAACCCAGGGTGAATGAATGTTGTTTAATGTGACAGTCAGCAGTACACAGTTTACAACACAACACCACTTGGGACTTGAACCCAGAGTGAATGAATGTTGTTTAATGTGACAGTCAGCAGTACACAGTTTACAACACAACACCACTTGGGACTTGAACCCAGAGTGAATGAATGTTGTTTAATGTGACAGTCAGCAGTACACAGTTTACAACACAACCCAGAGTGAATGAATGTTGTTTAATGTGACAGTCAGCAGTACACAGTTTACAACACAACCCAGAGTGAATGAATGTTGTTTAATGTGACAGTCAGCAATACTGCAACAGTCTCAGCCTTGACAAGGTGAAGTCAGACTCCCGGATCCTGTATTCACCAAAGTAACCGAACCAGACCAAGTGTACCCTATTTTACACAGTTCCTACCATGACTGGTTCTGTCAGACCTGGACTTCACACACTGGAATATAGGGGTTTATACTATCTAACGGATGCGAGCGAGTGAGTGAGTGAGTGAGTGAGTGAGTTGACTTTTACGCCGCACTCAGTAATATTCCAGCTACATGGCGGCGGTCTGTAAATTATCGAGTCTGGACCAGACAATCCAGTGATCAAACAGCATGAATATCGATCTGTGCAATTGGGAACTGATGACATATGTCAAGCAAGTCAGCGAGCCTGACCACCCAATCTAGTTAGTCACCTCTTACGACAAGGAGTGAGTGAGTGAGTGAGTTTAGTTTTACGCTGCACTCATCAATATTCCGACTACATGGTGGTGATCTGTAAATAGTCGGGCCTTGAACAGACAATCCAGTGATCAACAGCATGAGCATCGATCTACGCAATTGGGAACCGATGACATGTCTCAACAAAGTCAGTGAGTCTCATACGACATGTATGAATTACTGAAAATCAATTCTAACCCGTTTCTGCACGGGTTGCAGTGCCTGGGAATGTTGGACAACCAATGCTTGCTCTTCTGAATTGATAAATTCAGTGCTCCAAATGTATTGTCCATACAGTTTCAAGTTACAGTGCATTGATGACAATGTTCTGGACCTTGGTGTCATGTCATACAGCCTACTTCAGAAAATCACATGTAAACAAATTTTTCATTGACATTGACAATTCCTGCAGAGAAGCTTTGTATTCATGCAAAGACAAATATATAAATAGACATATAAAAATGTTCTCACATGGGAACATATTTTAAAATTAATTCATGACATGCATTCTATTTATTACAAACATATCATCAATGCCTTTTCCATTTGGTTGAGACAACACCTTAGTACACAACAGCTTGAAAATCACTGAGGTTATGTTTAATTCTTTGTGACTGTGTTAACATGTCATCAGTTGTTATGAACATGTCAATCAAAATTAACGAAAATATATATTCCATAACTGAAGCAATGGCTGCAGGTAACATCATTCCATCCAAATCACATTCACAAAGGCCGATTCTACTTTTTTAGGGTTTTTTTTATCTCCAACTGTGATCAGCAAGACTGACTGACTGAGTTTAGTTTTACGCCGCTTTTAGCAATATTCCAGCAATATCACGGCGGGGGACTGATCAGCAAGACAACAGACAGGTTAATAAATGAATAGAAAAACAATAAATATATGTTTTTCGCTAGCTATTTATGTTAATTTACTTTATTAAATTAAAAAATTTAGAACACTTGGTAATAGTCTTTTAACTAATGTAAAATGTTGATGAAGAAATTGAGTGAGTGAGTTGAGTTTTACACCGCATCCAGCAATATTCTAGTTATATGGCGGCGATCTATAAATAATCGAGTCTGGACCAGACAATCCAGTGATCAACAGCATGAGCATTGATTTGCACAATTGGCAACCGATGACAGGTGTCAACCTTGTCAGCGAGCCTGACCACCCAATCCCGTTAGTCGCCTCTTACGACAAGCATGGGTTACTGAAGATCAATATTCTAAGCTGGACCTCCATGGGTATGATGAAGCAATTTCTACCTGACCATGTTTCTTTTTATTAGTATGTTTCACATCTGGGCATAAAGAGGACCGACAGCCGAACTTTGACACTTTTATTGTGACATTCATGGCCAATATGTTCATGTGGTACATATCCATTAAAATATTTATTATGTAAATTATTACAGGTAAATCTTACCTTCTTGGATGCTTTAAGTTTCGTCTCCTGACCAAGTTTTGAGTGTTTTTGACCAGGGATCTTTGGTAGGTACATGTTTGCCTGCGAATTCCGAAGGAGTTTCTTCTTGTTTGGAGCTCTAGGAGATCCCAGTTCATTTTTTTCCAGTCTTAATCCATATCCAGAATCTTTAGATTCAGACAATCCACCTTCAGACCCTCTGGATTCGTAGATATCATCGGAGATGTGTGTGTCATTGTGTTTGCTTACTAAGCCGGAAACTTGCGTCACCTGGTCATCTGTCTGTCCGTCCATCTGTCCATCATGATCCATGACGGACATGGAGGACAACATACTGTCCCCCTGAGGGCTCGGCGCCAGGACCTCCGAGGTCTTGGGGATCTTCTGCTCATGTTGAGAGACGCCCCGTGTTGGATCTCTCACATTCATTATTTCCATGCCTTGACCAAGCTTTAGGTTAGGCTGATTGTTGTTTAATTCTTTTGCTTTCTCATTGGGTTGTATTTACTGGACCCATCTGAAAAGTCAAAGTTTGTAACAGAAAAAGTGTAATAGCTAGACGAGTAAAGAAGTAAAAGATTTGTTTGTGAGCACACACCTCAACCAAAAAATGAGTTACCTAGCAACGCCAGAGGTCTTTATTCTTATGGATATGAAATTCAATGTAAAACTGTTAGAAAAACTCAACTGTGGTATTCCATGTATATGTCATTTCACATAATAATTAGTTTGAATTTATTTTGAAGATCTTGGAAAGTTCTTTACATTCAGCAAATGGTTGCCTATACCCATCTAGAATCTATATGAATGTGAAATGACAGGTTTGGTATGAAGGCATTGCATGAATCATATTTTTGATTACTTCTTCTATTGTTTTCCAAAGAGTGACAATTGTTACATTTCTGAAAAGACATAAGGGCATAGCATAATGTGTAATGTCTATTGTCACTATATGAACATTTGTGTTTGCTTGTCAACACCAAATTGTATCAAAATAAAAGAATCCCAACTATCAAGACAGTGTAGTATTTGTTTCTTTGTTGAACATAATAAATCTCATCATGGTCTGAATCGGTATTTATCACCCGACCTACACAGCATTTCAAGCCGAAACGTTACTGATGTAGTAGTAGCAAACAGCTGTGACTCTTTCATAAAACCGCAACCATGCACATGTTAGGCCACTCACACTTGCAAACAAACAGTTATTGACAGCTATCAACACACAGCATGCGGTCTATCAACATGGGCCAGCTGATCTGCTGCAAGTCTTACTTAAATAACACAATATGCCACGTCTCCCAACCACTACATAAAAACAATAGAATGTGTATATACTTGATTCTCGCCACGTTGAACATACATCGTTATATCGCTGTCAACTTCATTCACAACACAGCACGGGTTAGCCTATACACTCGTAACACTGTCCAGTTGTGTACGTAGTGACCTATTGCCAGAGTCCGTGCATGCAGTGACCGTAACAACCCCAAGTGTCATTCTTACAAAAATACTGACGAATTCTAAATATGAACTGGATAATTTCCCAAGACACCCACCTTTTCACAACGCGACGCACATGAGCAAACCATTTTTTCACTGATCCTTTTCTTCGCGGATAATTTTTCTTCCGTTGGCAGGCACGCTTTCTCCATACGCATGCGCATTTGTCCAGACAATATAGCACGCAAGGGACAGGAAGACATTCGATATGTCAGCTGCTAATCTCACTGGTACATTCAAGGCAGAATATTTATTACGACTATTATTTGCAGAGGGAAAGTGTTTAGAATTTATTCAGTTACAAGCTAAAGTTCTAATGATATTTGCATTCAATTTAAACCGCTAAGACCAAATGTATACCGCTTTAATGAAACTTCCTCCTGTACCTGTGTGTTGGAGGAAGTCATCTCCCCATGGAAGGGGAACCTCAATATTTGTTTTTATCAAGTCACTAATCTTTCAATGAAACAGTCTGTCCAGGTGTTCCCAGATGAACACTTCTTGATATTGAGTTACTTATGTGAAAATACATAAGAACATTGTACTTATTATGCCTATCTTGAGGTGTTAAAGTAACACCACCCCACCCCACCCCCAACACCATATAGACGCACAGAGTACACGGGGGTATAAAAAGATCAGGTAGCAGAGAAGTGTTGTTTAGATGATTTATTCAAATGGCTGGGACTGCAATTTCTCACAGACCAATCCCGGTCTAATTAAAATGTCATGAAACCAATACTAGCTATTGTCAATATTGATTCCATTGGCAGACCCATTTCAAATTAAACAGTTTTCAAGAGTCCTGGAAGTTGAGAATCTATTGACTATTTTTGCATCTGACGACTCTACAACAGCAGATTGGTGTAAAGTGCATTGTCCTGTCGTTCAGCCCGCGTGATGTATAATCTGCCATTGTCACGGCCAGATGTTGAAGAGAGCAATTTCTTCAGACCGAGCTCCGTCCTGCGTTGTTCAACATGATGCAGACAGCGCGTGTATGTGCCGATCTGCAGCGTTACGACCGAGAACTGCTTGTTCAGCCCTGGTTGGACGTTTTCTGATCGACTGTGTTGAAAGCAAGTTTCCCAGAGATGACAGCGGCTCCACGCAACGTTTTCTTTTCCGACGAGATTTTTTAAAAACAAATTTTAAATGAAAGATTCTATTACCCCTTCCCCGTTTTGGTTAGAGAGTGAGTATTACTTTAGCTTCAACTGTTTTGAAAGCCTGTTTCCAGGAGATGACAGTGGATTCACACAACGTTTTCTGTTCAGATGAAATTTGATTTTTTTATTACAAATTTCAAATAAAATATATATATGCATCAAAGATCCATTTTCAAACCGAAAAATGACAAAACATTTTCGTTAATTAAACGTCAAGTAATAAGGGATAGCAACCTACGATGGGACGACATAAGGCTCTGCATGTGGTATAAGCTTTAGATTTAATTAATTTATGCTTTAATTTAGAGAATATTGATCTAATGCATTTATATAGAAAGTATTCATGGAATGTTATCAGGAGGTAAATCTAAAACTTTTAAGTTTATAACGGTTAAACAATGATTGGTAAATAAAGGAGATTACGGCTTGAACGAGGGGGATATTATTCTGGTATCTCACGTGACAAGCTAGCGTTGGCGGAGCTGAGCAGCTCCTTGAGCTTCTGACATGCTCAAGTTATTAGTAGGTACCGACTTTACCCCGATATAACACATTTCCTGCAAATCAACCGTGGTCTTTTCAGGAAATTGTGCTAAAACTAAGTAAATATTTCTTTTATTTCAGATTTCTACTGACATCCATCTAAATTGTTGCACTGACTCATTTTAATCAGGAATGAAAAGCGTAATAGCGAGGTAAATGACACGTTTTGTATTATCTTTGAGTATAACCTACATGGCTCTCGAAATTCATATGAGGATTACAAAGACTTACAAAAAGCCATACACGGAAGCTTAACCTTTGCATAAAGACTAAAATCAATAAATGTTCAAAGAAAAGACTTACAACACACCTGTGTTGGCAATATATAATGCAGAATATTCAACACAGAATACTGCTTTGTATAAAACAATCGCCGCTCCACAGTCACGTTACTTTAAGGAAAACCAATCCAGAAAGTGAAATCGAATTCAATGTCCTGGGGCCCGATCCACAAAGCGTTCGTAGCACTATGCCATTCGTTAGCTAATGATAAAGTATAGAGATACGATAGGTCGTAACGCTACGAGCGCTTCGTGGTTCTGGACCCAGGATACACTTAGTTGAAGTGAGTGAGTTACTCCAGTTTTAATCTGTGTGTCAGTAACAATTGGTTAGCCCCCAAAGATTCAGGTCTTAGACATTCCAAAAGATGCTTAAAAAACCTGTCTCAAACAGCCGCCAAAATGACCACACGAAAGATGGATTGAAGCTTCAGCTTAACATCGGTAACTCACGAGTACCTAAGGACTATCTCCTATTTACCACCACAAGAACGCTTTGAAACTATAGTGCTTCCTTCCGTAGTAACAACACATGGTTACGAAGTCCACCAGCCTAGAACATGACGAAAAAGGGTTGTTGTTTGCGCAACAAATACTACTAAGGTTTATGAGTAAAACACTGATGTTCTTATCTGGATCAAAATAATGGTTCAAATCACATATTTTTTTCAAAAGATGTCAAATAACCTTCCAAAGATACACACAATATTTCAGTCGCAATCCATATCTGCTCCGTTTGCTCTGCTCCGCGTATATATAGTTTCCAAGGCATGGACATCAACATGACATCTCCCACTTCGAAGGGGTGAACACAATTATCTCTCCCCAAAACGTTATTACATAATCGGATTTGAGTTATTTTGAAGTTTTGAAGTAGCAAATAGTTTGAAATGTCTTCCCAGCATTAAGACATTTTGGGGGTGACGACTGTTCACCCCCAACTTCGAAT